CCCCAAAACCCCAAAACCCCAAAACCCCAAAACCCCTAAAAGGCATCGAGGTTGAGTGAGACAATGAGCCATCTAATTTATTAAATTTCTAAGGTGACTAGAACTCTAGTATCCTCGGTAGGGACATTTCTGTGACTATCTATCCCTCGTTCAAACCTTCAATATTTGTGTCTTTATCTACATTAGTGTCCTAACATCAATCTCGAGATTTTCAGACTCGATCTCATAAATTCTATCCAGCTTTTTCTTGATTTTCTTCGTTTTGTTTTCCCATTTCTTCATAAGGATTCTCCAGATATCATACCATGGCTGGTAGGTCATTCTGAATGAACTAGTGGTCTGGGTGTACAGCCCATAAATATTCTCCTCGTCTTCTTCATCTTGCCACCTATATGTTAAATGCTAGTCTCACTTATAAAGCGGAATGCTCTTGACAGATTCTAGATGAGTCTTGATATTTTTATAGAGTTTAGGACCGATCATATTGTTCTTAGTGATAGCCTTTTTCTCGATAGAGGATATCAACCGAGTGTACTGCTTCTCTGCATCGCCTAGTTTGGACTGAACCTTCGAGAATATATCCTTCAATAGCTCAAGGATATTACTGTAGAGAGAAGAACCACTGGGAATGTAGTTGAGGATTAGTAAGCAAGCTAAGGAAATCTTGTTTATACCTTCTTCAATGTCATCATTTACAATTTCATAGTTTGATTTCGAGATTATGTAGCAAGTGAAGATTTGTAAGTGCTTGTACAGAATATCCTTCTTCTTTTGCAGTATTTTATCTTGGATGAATGGCACTGAACTCTGCATTGCCATCACATATGAGATTGTCTTTAAAGCTTTATCATTTTGAGATTCCATAAGATAAGAAATACCATAGTGTATCAGGAGAGAAATCTCAAGATTTTGGTAATAAGCGGCTTTAAATATCTCCAGATTCTTCTTTCTTGATTCTATGAGAACAATGATGTCCCTATTGAAGGCTTTTGAAAGAGTAGATTCCAGTGTTGGATCAAGACAATCGATGCTTAACTGGGCAGGATGCTTCTCTTGGACTGAACAATCAAGCATTGTATGTTGGCAAAGTATCAATTCCTGATTTTTATAGCAAAAGATGGGAAAACTAAGCAAACTTTTATCTGTATTTCCAATAACATTTCGTTTCAGATTTACATCTAGCTTTTTAAAGTGTTCCATTATATCATTTGCGAGTTCCTTATTTTTGGCTTCTTCAAGTTGAATATTAAAGCTAACATTCTCTCTGTTCACTTGATCAATGAGATCTTGAGGAATGAGGGAAAGATAATATTCAAATTCACTAGACATATCCTGCACGTTATGGATCTTGTCATTAGAGACATACATCACTAGATAAGCTGACGTTTTAAGTTTAGTAATTCCATAAGCTTCTCCTAAAACTTGCTCCTCAGAGACTTCTTTGACCATATGATCACTGTATCTGTACCAGTAGTTCTCTATATGATTCTTGATGTAGGAGTAATAGTGACCACTATTGTCCTCTCCTTCATGGATCACGATGCAATGAAGGGAGTACGGGTATTCTTTCAAGACTGTATATGCGTTCCCTATAAAAGTAATAAACAAAATTACCTAGGTCATTGATAGTATTAGCCAAGTTTATCTTCTCCTCCTGAACGGTTTCTTTAAGATGTTTTTCATACTTTTTCAAGCATGAGATAGTTGTCTTCAAGTTGCTGCTTTTCATCCCAATGGTTCCTATTTGATCTGGCTCTGCAAGATCAACATCATCATCTGGCACTACTGAGTCTTCTTTGCCTTCTTCCTCAAATTTAAATTGCTTTTCGACGAATTTTCTGCTGACTTTTAAGAAATTTACTAAGTCTTTGCCCTCATGCTGGTACTTTTTAAGAGACTCCTCAAGGGACTGCTTCTTTCTTTTGAGTTTGTCAAGGGACTTAACAAAATCTGGGAATCTTGTAGCGTTTTTGGCTACAAATCTATCAATAAAAATCTCTTTATCAAAGGAAAACTCATCATGAATCTTCTTTGGAGCCATATTTTCTGGGTCATAAGTTACTCTGACAATGCTGAAGGTGAGCACATCTGGAGCTTTAGTGATCCATCTTCTTTTATTTATAGATATACTTGCCAGAGTCGACTTCGAATCTGAATGCCTTATCCCATGCTTCGTAAAGATTGTTGTTACCCTAAATATTCATTAGATACTGATCTTACAGAGATTTCTAGGAGAATCAGCAGGAACTCTAGCTCTCAGATATCATTCTCTGTTTCCTTATCATCACACTCAGTTGTTTCGATCTGTTTTCCATAGAAGAGATCTTTGATGAAGCCTTCGCTTTCATAATTTGTTCTGTATGTCTCAACCTTTTGAAGTAATGGGGTATCTTCCTCGTCATCTGAAGAACTAGATCCACTTTGGTCGTCAGATCCTTCTTGATTTTTGACCTCTTCTTCGAATGGATTTTCTTCTTCGTTCTTATAGGGATTAGTGATGGCTTCAAATCCTTCATGAATCCGACTCATGAATCCCTCACTGACCTCTGTGATATCTTGCTGATCTCCTATTTTCATTTGGTTGCCGAAGTCATCTACGATATTTCGGATCATTGCAGTTGGATCTGCGTACTTCTTTTCACTTTTGGTCATAAAGGCAAATAGCTTATTTAAGCTCGATGATCAATTTGTACGAAGACTCTATCCTTTTCATTGCATTCAGGCTACTTTGGCGCTGCAGTTCTGCTGAGTCCTCCAATGACATGACCTTTTCCATAACTATAGGAAGATGGAAAAGAGCCTGAATGAAAGAATTGAGATAACAAGTGTTTCCAATGTTCTTTAAGCCTATTGGAGTTGTTCCTATTCTTTGTCGCTCTTCGAGAGTAAGAGGTTCAAGGTCATTCAGGAAATTCATCTCATTAATTTGTTGGAATTGTCCAATCCCATCTGTAGTCTTACTCATCTCCAATACTCTGCTGAGTTCATCTTGTTCTTGTCTTGATTGCCCACCTTGGGACTGTAAGTAGTTTCGGGCCTGAGTAAGATCCCAGTCACATATATTAAGGGCATTCATAGCCTCTTCCTTTGTGTATCCCTTTTTTTGAAGGTCTTGGACTTTGTAAGTCTGGAACTGATTCATTTATATCTTTAAATTTAATATTTAAGAGTTATTTGAGATTGGGGTTTTGGGGTTTTGGGGTTTTGGGGTTTTGGGG